CAATTAACTCGTATCGCTTGACGGTGTTTTGTACGCTTTGCTTCTTGGGGGGGAAAATTGTGCCATCCGTAACGGGGACCTACGGATCGAAAGAATTTTCTTAAAGCTTAGTTCGTAAGAATTAAATAGATCTAAGAAAGTATATACGGTAGAGAGAATAACGCATTCTTCCTGAAATCGGTAAGTTTTCGGACGCAGGGGTGAATCGAACGAATAAAATGGCGGCTCGTGTTATCCTTAACACGTTCCGTGCCGGACCGATTTTCGGTGACTTTCCGTTCACGCCGCGTGGGTCGTATGCGTCCCATATTGTCCAGACTAACAGTTTTGCTTTTCGCCCTATATCCAATATTTATAAGATTGCAAAAATCATTGTTATCGAGAAAAAGGTAACGTTTAAGATATGCTATAGAGCAAAGGAAAAATTTTTGTTTTAACAAATTATCGCCGTAGTTGCATAGTTTAAGTTAGCGAAATATCAGATGGCCTGAACGGAAAGACCAGAGTGGGGCGTATGCGAGCCACGCGGCACGGAACGTGTTAAACTTAAGAAAATTCCTTAAACTTAAAAACGATAAATTATTTTCTTTTACACATTTCGGCTCAGATTTCATCTCTCAACTTCGTCTTTCGTATCGAATTTCTTCCTTTCTCAATTACCCAGTGTTTGATCAATTCTCGTTAATCGTCAATTCGATTAATTAACGAACGTATACGCCTGAAGAATAGAAAGGAGAAATGGAAATTAGGAAGTGCAGCGAACAACGTTGTCGCTTTTCATCGTAAATTCCGAGCCGCGAGATTATAACGAAACGGCTTCTGTCGCGCAATTAGGGGCAGTCGAATTTTTCCTCACAATACTATACGGTTGAAAGAGAAATTGATCTACGAGGATAGAATCGCGATCGCAACGAACCGGTCTCCGATCGATAACGATTCACGTTTACAATTGTAACAATGTAACAACTAATACTGTGTGGTAGTGAAACTACAGTTACGGATTTCACGAAGATCGAACCGACGAAGCTGACGAATGTACGTTCTTCGAAAAAAGAGAAACCACGAACTATCATCGTGGTCGTAGTGTAAATTTAGGAAAAAAAAAAAAGAACAGAGAAGAAACGATATATTTAGACGACACAGTCGAGAATTAACAAGATAAGAATTGCTCTTTAATCAGGAAACGTACATAAACGAGATGTTAACGTAGCCTTTTTTCAAAAGACAGGCTACAAGTCGTCGATCGAAATCCGATAAAAATTGTGCCCTGTATAATACATTAATTGACCGGAAACGAGATTGTGAAATATCCGCCCGTATCTCTTCGAACATCTTTGTTGCTTTAATTCTAGCGACGATTGCGACAAATCATCCCGCGTAACTTAATACAGAGTAACGAAACAAAAACACGAATTATTACAATAATTATACGTAGATTAATGCGAAGTGGTTACAAGTTACCTCGAAGAATTAATCGGTGTCTACGTGATTAATGGATCAATTGGGTGTAACTTTTATGTCAACAGACCTCGTCTTTTTTTCTTTTTTTTTTCAAAGACGCGTTGAAATCAATTTGCTTCCTTGGAATCTTATTGTCTGTCTGGCGTATCGTAATGCGCGCGTTTGTTATACATACTAGCTATCCATCGGGCAGAAATTTGTTCGTTTTCTTTCTATTGTCCTACTAACGTCTCTAAAGCAGGCTTACATAGTCAAAAATTCCTCTCACTTATGGATTATCGAGAGATTTCTAAGTTCTTCATGATCGTACGTGCACTCCGTTGGAACAAGACTATCGAAGTGTCTTCTCCCTTTTTTTCCCCCTCTAATCCCTATTTAAGTTATACAGCTTTAAATCGAACCAATTTAACGTTACGTCTTAAGTGCGAAAATTTTGGACGGACAATTTTCTTCCGTTTTTTAACGACTTTTTTTCTTCTTTTTCGTGTTTCAATTGTATTTTCATCGGTTCGACCGATCGAGTGCACGCGCGGTCGCATACTACGGAGAAGAAAAAGTAAAGATACAACGATGGATGGGAGAATATAGGCTGCCGTCGTTTGCAACGTAAACTATAAAGAAATTGTGCTTGAAATTCTCCGGTACACAAAATCCCCTGGTATTTTGTATAGAGAGAGAACCGTCTATTGTCTAGATTCGTGCGAACAGTTTGTACACTATGTAACAGCAGCGTGCAGTGTAGCTTTTCGTTAGTAATTATCACATAGGTATACGTGTTAGGTAGAAAATTTGAACAGCGAAATCGATTCGGCAGACGTAACTTCTGTTAGACGCAAGAACGCACGTAAAACGCTCGACCATCGCGTTTCTACGCGGTCCAACAAAGACTCTACGATCTATCTGAAAATCTAGGCAAAAGCCTTCTCTTCAAGCATACGAATATTCATCGAAACAGACTAATGCACTTCTGAATTGAAAAATGAAACCGACACCTAGGGCAGAGAAGATCTTCTACAACTCCAACATCTCCGTCCACTATCTGAAGAAACGATTCGACAGAGAGAGAAAACAATGATAATTCGGTGCTGCTAGTGCACGTGTGAAAAAAAATGACGAGAAGAGGCCATGCGAACGACGGCAAGCAACGAGGGTTATTATTATCCGATAAACGATCAATATCTAAAAATCGATACACGAATTTACGCATCCTCCCATCCCTAAAGCTACACGATCGAAATACAGATTTATGAAGCTGCAGTTAATTAAAACACGGATCGTGTGTGTATGTGTCTGTTTTTTTTTCTCTCTCTCTCTCATCTTTTTTATGCGTGTGTGTTTGTGGTCGTTATGCAGTATGAATCGACGATTCACGAGGACGACGGTTTTTTCTTTGCGGCGTGCAAAGGGTGGAGGAGAGAGAGGGTGGACAAGAGGTGTTCACTGTCCGCCCTTCATCTTCTTCGCGTAGATCTTGAACTGCTCGTACGTGATCCACAGAACGATGTTCCAAGACACCAGCCGCGTGAAGCTGGGCACGAAGCCTTTGTAAAACGCGGACGGGCCTTCTTTCATCATCATGCGAACGGCGCAATCTTTCACGCCCTTGTACTCGCCGGGAGCGCTGTTCATGTAACGCGTCTTCACCACGTCCACAGGACTGGCCGCCAGGGTGGTGCATAATCCTGCGGTGACAGCGGCGGACACGTGACACGGGATTCCGTCGCGCATGTATCCTTTCTCAAGGAGGAAATCCTTGATGATGTCGTAGCAGACGATCTCCGCTACGTTCACGATCGCGTTCCTCGAGATGTTGGGCACGGTACCTGGGAGAAGAGGAATTGTTCTGGTGACTCGTGATTTCATGGCTCTATGAGTGATTTTGCACGTTTGCACGAGCGATAGAATTTTTATGCAATCTATGCAGAAAGTGCAATCTTTTTTTTATTATTTTCTTTCGTACTTCATTTTTCTCACATCGGGGAAAATGTGAGAGTTGAGGGGGTGACGTTTGTGAACCTAACAGTCGACAAATCATCCCGCTGTAACTCTAACGCGATCGTATCTAAAAGTTATCCGAAAAGTGCAATTTTTTAAATTATTTTCCCTTACTCTCCATATTGCGCTATTTTTTCTATTGTACGGCGAAAATGTGTGGTGCAGCGTTAGAAGTGAATGGGAAAGTTATTTGCACTCGCCTAGGAAATAGTTAAGAAAGAAATGAAATTGATCTTTGGGTGCGTTAAATCGAGAAAAATGTGAGCGTTGAGGAGTTGACGTTTATGAACCTAACAGTCGACAAATCATCTCGCTGTAACTCTAACGCGATCGTTATCTAAAAGTTATCCGAAAAGTGCAATTTTTTAAAAATATTTTTTTTTCTATTTTTTCTATTCTACGGCAAGAATGTGAGTTACAGCATTAGAAATGAATGGGAAACATATTTCCACTCATATTTTCCTGGCAAATTACTTTTAAACGTTTCAACTCGCGAAACATCTGTTACAGCATTTCCGAAGTGAAATTCAACCATTTACATCGTTTTGTAAATTTATTTTCAGACAGATACGTGAAAACCTCGATGGCGTATTTCAAGGACTCGAGTCGAAGACCTGAGTGACGCATATGTCCGTCATCCGACGCTATTGTGTCCAAAAAGAAACGTAAAATCGATCCTTTCTGGACATATCAAGTTGAGAAAAATCTCGCCGTAACTCTAACGCGATCATATCTAAAGATTACACCCCGGTGAATCCCCTTCTAATCTCCAGCAAATCTCGTTTCACTCGAGCTTGAATTCTCACAGTGGGATACCTACTTAATTCGGATTAATGGGATCTGCGTAGATACCGGACGACGACGAAAGGCAGAGATTTGAATGGAATAATACAAGATAACGGGGAACGATTTAAACGGTTGAACCGCAATTTGCGACGGATCTTTACACTTTTGCCCCGAAGGCTCTCTGTGTCCTCGTGTTTCTCCATGCAAATGCGTTTCGCCAGTTGTTACGGCTACTTGTTCGCCCCCCCGTACCTTTCCAAAGGCCCCGAGTCCCTTCTTCGGCAGCGATATTCTTGTACGCCTGCAGGGTCGAGCTGTATCTCACCGATGATCGTCCATTACTTCCAGCCTGTAGGCGGACCTTGACGACATCGGTCGGTTGAGCAAAGAGCACCGCCAAGGCGCCTGTCGTGATTCCAGCGGCGATTCGTACGGAGATATTCTTCGATCCGCTCCTGTTATTACCTGCTAAGACAAAAGTCCATGGTGAAAAGACGGTTTTCGGATCGGGTGATTTTTTAAAAGTGTGTGATTTTTTTTTTTCTCGTATATCTTTCACGTTCAAGTCGTTCCGTCTTTCTCGGCAATGTATTGGTTTTCTGAATCTTTTCGATCGATCGAAACAAAGTTAGGACGCAGGGTGGGAGAGATCACGCGCTGTATGCGCGACTCTTTGTTTAATAGCTCGCTGATTTACCCTTCGCGTTACAATCAACGCTTTTCTCGAAGCGACAACTCGAATGTCTCGAAGCTTTTTTTTAGCAATCAACGAGTGTGTATACACGTATCACGACTTCGCTTCTCTACCAGAGTACAATAGTAAGGTGGAGAACTTGGTATCTTCTCGAGGCTGGTACCCGAGATCAACGGTAGACAATCGATGGAGAGCTTTCATTCGTGATTCGTGGCAAGTTTTCCGGAGCACAAAGTGTTCGCGTGAGGAAATAGGCGAAAGATTCGGTTGATCGCGGGTACCTCCTCGCCGACGATTTACACACGAACTTCAGCGAACATCTCGATGCGAAGTGAATAAGAAAAGTGATCCGTTAGAGAGGTTCAGTTACAAATTACGTCGATAAGTTACACGAAAAGGAAACGTTTACAACATGCGGCAACGAGGATGAAAAAACGAGACTCGCGTCACGATTCACGTTTTCAACGTCTGAAACATCTGCCTGCTAAAAACAGTTCGGCGTGATTATACTTTCTCCGTACGAATTAGTTTGATTAAAGTTACACGAGTTATTAATGCGTCACACACAATTGGAAAAAGTATCGAAAACGGACATGCTCGTTCGTATCTATTCGTTCAAGAACGCGATCGTAAGTTGAAAGTGGTACACTCGTTTTTGGCACCAGGTTTGTTCCTTCACTTTGCTATCCGAATCTCCGAATCACAGAAACGAAGAAAAAAATGAAAAATAAAAATAAAGAAAAGAAACACTCTATTGGTCGGATAACGATGATTTCCGAGCGTGCGCAACGATCTCACGAATGATCCAATTTGTACAGGAGGAGGAGAGTACGGAACGAACCTCCTCCCGCCGTAATCTAATCGCTTCTTTCCTCCTCTCTCGCTTCCCTTTTCGTACAGGCGACTCGTGTGTGTGGATAACGACGGAAGATCAACGAAGCGAGACTTATTAAAAAAAAAAAAATTAAATAAAACGAAAAAGAAGAGATGAAACAAAGGAACGTCACATCCGAGACACATTGCATTATTCGATTCGCGGCAATACGGAAGACAGCTTGCCAGAGAGCTTTCTTCTCGTTTATGAAAAAACTGATCGATCATTAAGACTAGAATTTTACTTAATTGTGAAATTTGTTGGAAAAAAAGGCACGCGGCGAGCCAACGGTGGTCGCGATTTTTCTCAACCAACCAGCCATTACTTACGCGTGTGTTACTCATTCAGTGTCACAGAGAGATGGAGCACGTGAGGCTCGCTCGTTCACGCGCGCGTCTCTACTCGGTTATATCGGTATAGGAGGATTACGTAAGTCAAAAAGTTAGGAGTTTGTTGGATGTACCGTCGATGATTCCAGCGTAGCGTGACTTCACCCCGTCGTAGAGGCCCAACCGTATGCTGGCGAAACACATCTGTCTCTGGAGTCCCGCGGACAGACCTCCGTACAGGCTCCTGTAACCACCCTCGCTCAAGCTCACCGCCCTCACAATTTACCCTCAAACGTAGCCCAGGGTAATATTTTTTTTTTTTTATATTTTCAATTTCTTAATTTGCTTTACTTCTTTTTTTTTTTTTTTCCTACAATTGTCTTATCTTTCTTTTCAAACTTTCTATACTTTGCTCGATTTCTTTTCTCTCTCTCTCTCTCTCGCTCTCTCTTTCTCGAATTTGCTCCCCTTCGTTTAGATTGACTTTTGAGATGCCCGAATATGTTACATTTCTTTTTGCGTGTACACCGACATGAAAATTTTCAACGTTTGTCTCTCTTCTTCTCTCTCTCTCCCTTTTTGTTTCTCTTTTTCTTTGTGAAGGGAAGCCAATAAGAGTTCTCTGAAACAACGATCGGAGAAGGACGAGAGAAAAGAGGGATGGCTCGAGGAAGAGCCCAAAATCGATCTCATGTAAAAGAATCGGGAGAGAGCTTGCGCTGAGAGAGCTGGACACGGTTATGACAAATCGTATTCGCGGTTGTGGAAGCGCAACCAAGCAAGGCGCCGCTCTGCTTTCGTATCTTTTCTTTCGAATCTTTATCAGATCGTTGTGAAAAAGGAAAGACTAGCGGCTGAGCAAAGGCAAAATAAACGGAAGCAGAGAAAAATAAGACTCGAAACAAGAAATAAGAAAAGAAACATTTTTACACGGATCGGGAGTTTTAGGCGGCGACACGTGGTGCTTTCCCTTATCAACGAAACTTTCCAACATTAAACGACGATTACACCTTATCATCTGTCTATGCATCAGCGAACAATTAATCTTCCCCGAAGAGAAATGCACACGAATCGTCGTTTATTGCCGTGATCTTACGGGGAATAAAGTTGGAAAGGCACCTCGTGCCCCAGAGAGAGAAAATAAATAGTTAGAGAATGGGAGTGCCATTGACGCGTTCCCTTATCGAATAAGTGGAATTATCGAGGTAACTGTGTCACGTGTGTGACTCTCGGTATTATGTAACTCTACGTTGGTTCAACGAACAGAGTCGATGGCACTCCGTTGAGAATCGAGAACCAAAGCTGTACATGTATAAAGACGAAAAAATAAGAGAGGAAAAAGAAAACAGAGGTTAACCCAATTAGCGTTTGGAAAGAAAGTATAAGTGTAAACTGAAGTGAAATGCCAGTGCGTCAGCGGTTTTTATCGAACTTCTATGTCGCGATCTCGTTACTGCGATTATCGTTATCTCTCGATCTCCGGTGGCGTCGTTGTCGACAACCATAGGAATTTTAATCACTCCAATGCATGTGATATTGAGCAACGTTACGTGTGTACACTTTCTTCGTCCAATTCTGTCAATTGAGCACGAACGAATTACACGGTTGTAGCACGATCGTGTGATCCGTTCGATTATAATTAGACCTGGCGAAGTGCAGAGGTGGACGACAACGACGATGGCATTGATCGACGCAGAGTAGTTTAGCAAA